TTCGCTTTATTGCAGCCCTTCTGTTGTCCATATGGGGACCCACTGGAGCAAAGCCTTCCTCAGACCTATGTGGATAATTCACAGCAGGTTCTGGTAAATGGCTACTGGAACTTCCAGCATGACAATGAACAAAGGGAGCATGTGAGGTTCCTGGGTTCCCAACTCTATAACCTAGAGTTTGCACAGTGCGACTTGAAGATGGAAGATCATTTGATCTAAGTCCCATATTCCCATGACTTGAATGACCAATTCTAAGGGGTGCGTCACTTCCATGATGCAGTAGAAGCTTCTGGCCTGAGATTAGAACAAGAAATGTTATTTATTGTATCACAATTTTCGATAAACTTACACAAGTATGTACTGGAGTCAGTCCAGCTACCTAGTGATTCATTGTGTGGGATGTTCTTGGGTTGATTATGATCCATCTCTGGCAGCTGGAGATGGCCCTGATTATTTCGAGCCATAAAACAAGAAGTCAGGTCTGCCTGCCCTTAATAATCTGGAAATGAAAAACAAAATCGATATCAATAATCCAGCATCACATAACATTAAGACCCAAATGAAAGCATACATTGCCATGACGTTTATCACAAATATTGCTAGGTCACCAATACAACACTACATATATTGTGTGCGTAAGATATCACAAAACAAGTACCAAAATCATTCAAGTTCATTCCATATTCAATATTTGATTTCCAGTACATGGATACAAAAACACAATTCTGAATGAGCACATCGATGGACAGCAAGATGAAACAACACACGAATTCAGAATTTCAATCAATTCATACAACTGAAAATCACACCAAAAATATGGAAGAACCACCCTGTGAAATATATGTAGTCCAAATTATTCATCCTTAATTGACAAGCAAATGCACTATAAGGTTTTACACTGAATCATTCACATCCCTTGACAGGTAAACAGCTGGTAAATAGACTACGAAATACTGATCTTGACACTTGAAAGTGTCCTTATCACTCACAATGATAGTACTAGATACAAACTGACAAGGGAGATTATCAAAACTCAGTGACATGGAACCTAGCAAAATGATCCACGATAATGACAAATAGAATTTCAGATATACCATAAAGGCTCCAGAAACTAGAAAAATAACCATTTTTTATAAATAGGCACTCAGATTTCAAATAGATTTACAACCACATTGTATATCACATTATTCCTTACAAACTTTTATACATTCTTAGTAACAAATCAAACAAAAATAATTTTTACTTTACAAAATATGTCCAATTAAAGGGAAAAGAAAAGAAAGAGCAGATGCAAATGAAAGAAGAAATGCTCCTAGAAATACATGGCCAAAGGCCCCAAGCTATGTCATTTGTAAACTTCTTGGCGGGTGCGCTTCTGCCCTTCCTCCGATCATTGGTAAATGCATCCTACTCCAAATTCAACAGATATCTAGCTTGGATTTCATTCGGATAAGGTTCATCTTGCAAATATTAATCAGATCCAGCATGCAAAACTGGAGACAAGCTGCAGTTTTTCTCGTGTATCAGTTCTTGCCTTCCAGTTCTACATAGCTGAGAGGTTAGACAACATCTTCCCTATGCATGATCAATTTCATAATAACCAAAAAAAGTGTTAAAAGGATACACTAATAATCACTCCAACTTACCAATATTCACTACAGCCTAACATCATCCTACAAATTACAATGTCAGATTCATGTTTACACTATAAATGAAACACCAAAATAGGTTACAACGAAGGTGCCAAGGCGGTAAATATATGATATGAACCCAAATCCTCATGGGGACAGGGTTAATCGACACATCACATAACTAACCAAATACACCACCAAACAATGCCTCCATTAAACATCATTCAGATTCGACAGCAGCATACAACATTCAGAAAAAAAAAATCAGATGTCTCATGCAGCAAAATCACAACCACCACATCCTAATACAGCGAGGACAACACCAATGATACTTGAAAGTACACCGATGACAGGTGCTCAAGAGGTACCGAAATGGTGGAGCTCTGAGAGGAAATCCTACTGTAGCTTCTCCACATCCTATTCGAGTAGTCAAGTAAAACAAATGCAGACACCTATCAGACCCATCTATCTGGAGTTAGCACATTCTCCATCGATGGAACTCAAGATGTCAAAGCAGAGACTGCATACCCAAGGGGTAACTTGGATCGAAACAGTAGGCCCAAAGCCGCAGATAATGGTAAACATCATCCTTGACAGGCATTTTAACAAGAAATAATGTTTTTTGGCCAGTTCGATTCGATACACACAAAGAAAAAAATGGAAACCACACAGCATGTGACGAGTAGAAGCCTAAGATGCAGAAGACATGGAAATGGTAATCAACGCTGCCGATTCGAATAGGTACCACAACATTGCTTTAGTTGCGGAGGCAAGAAAAAAAAAGGAGGGGGGAGTACATCCCCTAAATGGAAAGCACAGGTGCTGAGTTAAAAAAGCAAACTTTGGTTGCAGAATTAAACTCGGTCTCATTCTATTAATTGTAGTCTATCCAGAAAACAATTATGGTAGCTCCCATGATGGTTTACCAGAAAAAAAAAACATGTATCCGTAATCATGCAAGCCCACATGATAAACAACTAAGCAACTCAAAAATCCCAATCCCCTCAGGCCGATTCGATTCGATCCGACAGAAAAAAAAAATCTCGCTACGGCCGAGCATTTCTAGAGCACGCCTCGCATTCCACGATCGCGGGGCATCAAATCGCCGCCTGTGGCGCTAAAACCGGGAAGAATCCTGGGTACTCGTGTACCCGGACCAAACCGCCGATCGCGTCACGCCGGCGGTCGATCGCGCGAGAACCAGAGGGGAACAGGTGAATCAAGGCGCCGTACCTCGCTGTCGGGCCGATCCGGCCTGGCGCCCCCCGGAATCGGAGCCGAGGCCCACCCGGCCCGCCGCCGGTGGAGATCGACTTGGAGGTTGGGGTTGCGGCGGAGGAAGGAAGAGGTCCGGTCCCCAGAGGAAGCTTCGGTGTCGGAGGGGAGACGCAACGCAAGGCAACCCAACCGCGGCGCGCTGCGTGGCGTGCGTCGCCGCTGTAAACAAAGCAGAGGGCAGAATTTGTCCGTATGACAGACAGAGAGAGGAGGCCAGGAGGGGAACGGAGCGGGGAGGGTGACGGGCCGGCTATTTATAGCAGCAGGGGCAGGCAGGCGGACCGCGGGCGGAGAACGGGAAGGAGCGGGGCGGAAGCGGGAGGTTCGGTGGGTGGGAGCGGCCCCACAGACCGCGAAGAGCAAGAGAGCTCGTGGATAAATTGGATGGGAGACCGCGAAAAGTGGCTTTCGGGGTAGCGTACTGTACGTGAAGCTTTCTCTCCCCCGCCGCCCCTAGTACTAACTAGTCCCCGCTGGGCCCACGGGTCAGTGGGACCGAGGGGGCCCCTTCTGGAGTCGACGCGTGCTGGTATACGGTGTATATGGTTATGGTATGGACGGGCGTATAGCACGTGGTGGGAGTATTGTGTACGGAGTATTCTGTACTACGAGTAGGAGGAGCAGATGGGGTAAGACGTGACTTGTATCGTTTCTAGCACGGAGTACATATCGCACGCAGAGTTTTCCTGTGTCAGCACGGAGCCCTGCTGCTGAGGACAGCTGAGAGGAGGCTGCAGAGCATAGTAGGCTCTTTTCTCGGCGAAGAAAACGATACGTATGCTACCTGTACGGCTGTACGTACGCTGTACAGTCGCCTGTTCCGTCCCGTTCCCCACCCGGCCACCCCCGGAATCCGAGGGCCGCGGGGCCGTCCCCGTCACGTGTGTGTGGCCTTTGGCTTATGGCTTGGGTGCGCGACCGCGTCGGGAGGTTCGGTGGGTGGGAGCGGCCCCACAGACCGCGAAGACCAAGAGAGCTCGTGGATAAATTGGATGGGTGGACCGATAATTGGAGGGCAGGCAGGTCGGCCGTCACGCAAACGCAACTCGCTTTCGCAGGTAGGAGTACTCCCTCACACGCAGCCACGCATGGACCGCGCCAACGAGCGCAACTTGCGAGACCCGCTCAAGTCATCGGCGTTGCAGGTCTGCTGCAGCACGCCTGGTGCCTGGCGCCTGGCGCAGTGTGGTGCTGCATAAAGCTACCGCCGCCTACTTGCACTCAAATAGCCATGCTATAGGGGGGATGGGATGGAGGATGATGCATTGGTACCGTTTGCAGCTGTGCTATCATACGAGTGTCAGGTCACTCTCGCCCACGCTAAACCCAAACAAGTAGCCTGATTCAGCTTATTCTCTCTCATAAAATACTATTTAATCATTCAAAACCATTCGAAATTCAATGTACACGGTACCAGCCGAACACACTAACTTCCAGAGGACTATTGTTGATTTGTATCTACGCCTAAAAGCACCTGTTTTTATTCATTGGTTGATGGAGGCTCACAAGGTACCCAACACAACAACATTAAACACACCATTTTTGCCTGGTGTTTCCCTCCCCCTCCCCTCCGATCTGGTACCATACCTTCAGCAAAGACGGGCAGACGGCGAATACAGCAAGATTAGCTTCAGTTTACTAGTGCCGAAACAAAAATATCTTTCTGCGTTCTCTTTTGTCTCCTCTCCACCAGAGGAGTAAAATTTACCACCCTATTATCGTTTCTGTGGCTTATAAGCCGGCTGATACTGTTTTGTTGTAAGAGAAAAACATTATATCATAGCTGATAAGCCTGACTGATACGATCAAGCGAACATGTATATAGGAATTTGTTCCCATCCACACTCACTCGGTACAATAGTAAGTACAACATGAAGCAGCCAACATTGACCGGCAGTTTCCAGGCACGTTCAAAGAACGTCCTCGGTTTGTTCTAGCCACCACCGCAACGTGACGACGGCGACCTGATCATCCCTGATTTATTCGCTTCCAGTGCTTTGCTTGCAACATGCGGATTGGGGGAGGGGGTACCTTTCATCAAAATATCCCTGCTGCAACTGCAAGGTTGTTTACGTTGTACAGAACAATACATTACAACCGGGCTTTCGCTAGCGCGGCGGGCTTGAAGCTCGCGATCCCGGTGATCTCTCTGCCGGTCACCAGGCTGTTGATGTCGTACGTGCCTTCGTACGAGTAAATTGGCTCCAGGTCACAGAACGCCTGTACAAGGTCGCGACAGTTATATATTAGTATACATACATACATACATTAAAAAAAAGGGGGTGATGGTTGGTTGATGTGTAAACCACCACTGCAAAAAAGGCAACTAGCCATGAGCACTTTCGATATTACTCCTATATATAGGTCACCCATGACTGCATACCTTTGCCACAAGGAAATCGGCCAAAATTCCGTTCCCACCCAGCAGCTCTCGGCCAAGAGAAACCACCTCGCGGGCCATCCTGGAGTTCCAAGCCTAAAACGCGACACAGCCAGCAAGCCACTGAGTTATCAAAGCGAGAGACGGTGCAAAGAACGAGCATATCTGCCAGCTGAAGTCCACACACAGACAGACCTTCCCTAGGCTAGCGTGGCCTGGAGTCATTTTCCCCGACTCGTAAAGCTTGCAGAGGCGCCAGCCAACAAGGAGCATCGATTGGATGTTACCGAGCATCCGGACAAGTTTCTCTTGGTTCAGCTGAAACGCCGCTAGAGGGACTCCAAACTGTTTCCTTTCTTTCAGATACCTGTTTTTGGTTTAGACGAAAGGTACAAGGTAAAATCATCGCCAGTGACAAAAAGTATCAAACGAATGGTGGTGCGTACCGGTGGCACATATCGAAGACCCCCATCGATATGCCAATTGGTTGCCATGCCACCATAATGCGTGAAATAGCAAGGACCTGCTTGCATAGTGAAAGTAGGTAAGCAGAGATTACATCACCGAGCTTGTGATTTGGCATAACAGAAGTAAAAAATCAGGAGAGACAAAAAAAAATGAGCATAACACAAGCGAAATCAGAAAAGTGTCATCAGCACTACCTTGCTGATATCCTGAAATGAGGTGATGCCTGGCAATCGGTCTTCCTCAGGGACAAACACCATGTTAAAAACTATATCACCATTTTGAACCATCCTGAGACCGATTTTGTTCTCAATCTTTGTAGCTTTCAGACCAGGAGCTCCTTTCCTCACAATAAACCTAGAAGCAATCAAATGGAAATGAGGAAAAAAGGCAATGCAAAAAAAAAAAAACCTCGTCAACGTAAACGACTTCTTAACACGAAGATAGAATTAATGCATGAAACAACGCATTAGAAAAAAAATATGGTATATTTGCAATTAGTTGGATGCTTCAAAAGGAAAGTTCATTGATGGTCCAAGACAAGATGATTTACCCATTTAGTTGTTGTGTATCTGCATTCCTAGCTAATACCACGAGCACATCGGCGAACGTACTGTTACCGATCCAGCGTTTTTGACCATCTATGTGCCACCCACCAGGTGCCTGTCCAAGATAAGCCAATACTTCAAGGTGCATACTACTGCTTGACAATAAAAATAAATGATCCACAAATATTGAATGTCAAGTGGTCACATCTCCACAGCTTACAGCGTGTGCCTTCTAGGTTTTGTAGGATTTAGTTCCAGCATGAGAAGTTTATGCTCTCATTTTTAGATTCAAATGCTTTTTCAAGGAAGATGTGTTTTATCAGATCTATAAATGCACACAGATCAATGGATGATGTCAAAAGCAGTGACTCTGGGGTTCAGCGCAAAACTATTTAATACAACTATACAAGTAATCTTGTAGTCGTATATATCCCTGCTCTTCACTTTTACTGCAAAAGGCAGGAAATGAACACTAAACACAAATACCATCTAAATTGGAATGAACAAAATATCCTAGCTGTCCCCAAATCTATATCTTATACCAGGGTGTGCCAAGAGACAAAATGAATAAACTGAAACAAAATAATAAGCTTGTAGCCTTGTGCAGACTGTATTGAAAGTCCTCCTTTATAGATTCTTGCAAAATTCAAATGCGTCAAAAGCTTAACCTTGGTCGCTGTAGTTCTCAAAGAGCTTGCATCACTTCCATAATTTGGCTCTGTCAATGCCTACAGAAGAGAGACCTTTTCAGGAAAAGACTCTGTCATTCCACATTTTATGCCTAAGGATACTGTAACTTACCCAACAGCCAACAGTAGTAAGTTGAGCAAGGGATGGCAAGTACTTCTGCTTCTGAGCCTCAGATCCACAAAGAGCTGTTCTTCAGACAAAACAGAAAGAGAGAGAGAGAGCAGTTCGGCTCCAGCATTTGGAGTAATTGATAATGGTAATTGATAAACCTTCTTAACACAAGATAGTATGGATTAAAAATAAATCCAGCTTTTGAACCTATTGTCACCATCGCAAGAGAGGAGTGCACCAGTATAAATGTGGAGCAGCTTGCATCTACCCGTGCCATTTCTGCCATAGTAACAGCACTGGCTGTAATTGAAAGTCCTGGGCACCCATAACCCTGCAGTAACCAAGACTCGTATCAAACTTTAGAAATATTGGAGCACTAAAACATAAATGTAGATAATACATAATTCCATACACTTCAACACTCCACCAAAGAGGTGACAAAAGGCATTCATGTTAAAGAACAGTTTATAGTAAGTGATCATATATATTCTGAAAAGCCTTGGCAATTAGCGACACTAAGCTCATGCAAACTAATCGGTCAAAGCCATTTGCACCTATAACTCTTCTAAAAAATAGAAACTAAAATACTGAAGAGAACCATTAACATAATTGCTCAACTAAAATTGACTCTAACCCGTACATTCAAGTAAATATTACCCATACAGAGAAAGGTAATTAACAAATAAAATGGTAACGACAATGTCAAGAAATCAATACCTTTATTGTACCACCAGCAACACTAAGGCTTGCAAGTTTAGGAATGGCATGAAATGGAAACTCTGCCTTTTCCCAGTACTGCAGTAGCGAATCAATAATGATTATGCGATTGTATAGAAAAGGTTGACCAGGAACTGCTTTAAGGACATTAGGAGTCAAACCAAACTATAAAAAAAAGTGACTTGTGGATAAGTAGATTGCAATGCAATCTAACAAGGTATTATAAAAACGAAAGCATATTTAGCAATGACTTATGTCATAAGCAAACAGTTTTAGATAGTTTAACCCGAGATGGGGTAACCAGGTACGTATACAAACAGACTAGTTAATACTCCAATTTAACATACCGCTGCCATAATGGGCGCGATTTCTTTCTCCACAATACCCCTGACCTTCTCCCTGATAGAGCGCTCTTCACTGGTCAGCAAATCATCAAACTGGTAGTAATCCGAAGCTGCAAATGAGGGTGTACATACTTAAAAGCCAATAAATAAGGCGGTATACTTTAATTTTTGTAATTGAACTGAATAGACTTATTGGGGCTGTGGCTTATTGAACTGAATGTGTCTGCATGTACTGTAGCTGCTGCTACCTGGCTGCTGCAGCTGCAGCTGCAGATAAGTTGCAGCCAGTACAGACGAGCACAGAAAACTGAACTTTAGGTATTAGGATCATATATATCTAGGTTCACACCCCCTAAGCCACATAGAAGGTTGAGTAGTTTAATCCCTGCCCAGAAATGGTCAGGGTGCTGATACTGAAGAATTACAGCAAAACAGGTCGGGAAAGAGGAGGACATGATGGCACAGTTGTGGCTGTGCATTGAAGCTATGAAAGCAACCCATCCAAGAAAGAAAGAGCCTACCAAAACACTAAATATATATATTTATTTCTGTTCACAACATGCCAAATCGATGCTTCTGTGATTGTAATTCGGCTCTAAGTCACAAATTCTAGAAAGCTGCATGACTCCAGGGTTGCACTAGGACTGCAACTGCTTATCTGCATAACTCTAGAATCATACTCTAGAAGCCTAAAACTGTTGAGTACAAGTTCAGAAGCATTGCCATTTAATTGGAAAGCAACCTGCATATCTGCATATGCTGGTGGTCTAAATGGGGCCTATGCAATAATTAAGGGAGCAGCTGGAACTGCAATGAAAACCACCAAACAGTACCAAAACTAGACAACAGTACCAGATGTTAAAATGGCCAGGTAATTGGATAGTTAGCCAATTATATGCTAGTACGAACGTCTCATCGAAATTGGTACTGAAAGAAGAGAGCAGGTTTTCCCATGTCACTGTGCCAATCATTACCTCAAAAAAACAATTGTACCAATCTCAGGGGGGGAAATAGCTGGACAAAACTGAGCAGCCAACCACCGCTGCAATCCTAACAGAGACAATTTACATCACACTCCTTACAGTACTCCGATTCCACGGCCCAAAGCTCACGATCCCCTCACTCCTTATCCCAGCCAGCGAAATTGAGTGGAAAAAAAAGGAATAAAGCACTCACCGGACGGCGGGAAAATGGAGGCCGGCGTGGCCTGCGGGAACGCGAGGGAGAGATCCAACGACGGGAGCCCGACCATGGCGCCGTCCTCCTCCCGCCCATCGCCGCCCGTAACTGCACTAAAGAGACCAGCCAATCATCATGCAACCGAAACGGCAGGGGGAGAGATCACCCGACTCCGCACCAAATCGAGCCGTTCCACAGCGCAGGAAGGGAAGGGAGGTCGACCCACCTCGCTTCCCCGCCATCCCAGCGGCGCAGAGGAAGGGTCAGCGGAGTCCTGCGCGAGGCGAGGGTCTTGGAGTTCCGGCGCAGGACGCGGGGAGAGGCCGGCGGGAGATGCAGGGAGTGCGTGCGAGGTGAGAAAGAAGAGTGGGAGACGGCGCTCTACTCTAGGCTTGATGGAGCAAGCTGGCTCAGCCCCACACGTCAGTGGCAGGTTTGAGGAGTCAGCTGACATAATTGATAGCGGGTGATGACTGATGAAAGCTCAGACACGGCTCCGTACGAACACGGCAACTTCTCGCCGTCCAAGGCTTTGGCGTTTAGTTGGCGAAATTTTCTAGGAAATGGTACTCCGGCATTTTTATTGTTATTTGGTAATTAATGTCTAATCATAGTCTAATTAGGTTTAAAAGATTCATCTATTGAATTTCGTCAAAACTGTGTAATTAGTTTTATTTTTTATTTATATTTAATACTTCATGCGTCCAAAGATTCGATGTGACGGAAAATCTTAAAAAAATTTGCAAAATTTTGGAAACTAAACACCACCTTTGTTTGGTTTTGTGATATCGGCTTGTTTGATTTTGTGATATCGGCCCGTTCTGTTTCGCTCAAATTTAACTTATACTAATGATTACGCTAATTTATTGTAAGAGGAGAACATTGTTTTCCTGAAAAACATTGTTATTTTGATGGAGTGACGATATGATCCGGAGACGATGTTATTCATAGATGATTTGGACAAATATTCGTCACAAAAGAATATTCTCTATAAGTATTTAAATAAGTTTACACTCACAAATCTACTAGACAAACATGTCCACGTTTTCTAATCTTTATTATTAATAAATAAATTAAGGATTACTAGTATATTATATTATTACTTAGGAATTATAATGGTATAAGATTCATTTTGATAAGTGCTAATATGTTGACCGATGCCTGTTTTCTGTGCCAATTAGGCTGCCAGAGGTGCTAATTAACATATTTATTTTTAAATTAGTGATTATGATGGTAAAATTAGTATTAGTGTATATTTATTAGTATAATTGCTTCCTCTATTTTTTACATGTCACATTAGCTTTGTCCTATGTAAGCATTACTATCTTTGGCCATCCATTTTTAAAATTCTTGTAATTATATATTATGAAAATGTTTGAATCTAAAAACATAAATCTTATACCATGAACCTATATTTTTTAATTGATGATCAAATATACAAATTTTGACTTAGGACAATCCTAATATGACATGTAAAAAATAGAGAGACTAGTTACTATTATTTTAAAATAATAGATATAATTATTCTTGTAATTATATATTATGAAAATGTTTGAATCTAAAAACATAAATCTTATACCATGAACCTATATTTTTTAATTGATGATCAAATATACAAATTTTGACTTAGGACAATCCTAATATGACATGTAAAAAACAGAGAGACTAGTTACTATTATTTTAAAATAATAGATATAATTATTCAACTAATTTTACATCTATTTTCATCCATCCAATCAAATAGAAAAATCGTTCGTCTCATCCAACCAAACAAACAAATAGCATGTATAAACTCATCTTAAAATCTATGAATAGCCATATTCCATCTACTTACTTTATTCTTAGACCAAACGCATGTATCACTTCTCCCTATCAATCGCGCTAATTTGAATACGTGCGTGTTCAGTGTTCCCTTCCATGTGGAGAAAATTACAACCTACTCTCGCCTGCAAATTATATGTCCAAAGTGCATCACTTCGCTTTCCGTTAATGTCAGCTTTGGTGGATAAACCAGATAATTCCAACCTCTACAACGACGATGCGATGTATGGACTTGTATATGGGGTGCTATTTTTTTTTTCACTTCATCCAAGGCTTACGAATAAGTCATGAAAAATCAGCTTTTGTCCAATTTTGCGAGTTTGGGATTTGGTCCAAACGATGGAGGTAAATCAAACTGTACGTTTCGGCCTGTTTCATCTACCGTGGTCATCCCCACAGCTTTATTCGCCTGCTTCCGCTTATTCGTCCTTCTTCTAAGGTCGCACACATCTTGCAGACGCAAAGGTGCTTTGGAAGACTCATGCATGCTCCGACGCGTCGTTGACCACCGTAGTAGTAGTACTATACCACCAGGTACCGGCCGGCGGGCCGCGGTAGTAGTGGAGTATATATATACGTACTATGCGTGCGTGCGTACGTGTATCCTAATCGTAGCTATTATGGTCGGTGTATAGTTGCTACAAGCATGCATGCTTGTGTGTAACGGTCAAATAAGGGCGGGCTACAAAGTTTTGTTCTTTGCATTAATTATAGCCATATAGCTAGCGCCCATATATGGTAGGTGTCGGTGTTTGTATCTGCTAAGTGCCACTAGGAAGCACCCGTCTGCTGCAAAATTTTGGTGCCTGCGCATGCATGCCAACAAGGTTTGCAGCAGCCTTCTTCAGCCCGATATATAAAATAAAAAAATGCAACTTTGGTTGTCACTGTACTTGTATTACATTAATCATGAAATGTTGAGCCACATACATCAGTGTACAATACCCACATAGTACATCAGTATACGACTCACGGATCGATATGCAACGCAAGAAACATCAGTTGGCACGAATACAGTACACGAGCTCTGCATGCAAACGACGACCTATGCAGAATAATATGCAGGATACATACACACACACGTACACACACACACACACACACACACACACACACACACACACGACCTGCGCTGTGCGTGCGCATCGATCGATGGATCGATCAGCCGCGGCACTTGAAGATCTTGCTGCAGCCGCGGGTGTAGTCGTTGGCCGGCTTCCCGGGGCGTTTGGCCTCGGGGCCCTGGTTCTTCTCGCAGTTGCCCAGCACCTTGCAGCTGAGCACCTTGTCGTACGATAAGTACTGCCCCTGATCGACACCGGCGGCCTCCTGCGGCGCCGTCGCCAGCAGCAGCAGGCACAGCACCACCGCCACGGCCATGGCCAGCCTCGCCGTGTTGTTCGCCGCCGCCATGGCTAGCCTCGCTCCTCCTCTCCTCTTGCGATGGAAAGAAATTACGAGGAGCTAGAGCTTAGGCCCTCCTCTTGCGATGGAAAGAAATTACGAGGAGCTAGCTAGCTAGCTTAGGCCGGGGAGGTGTTTTTATTTCCTGTAATGTGATGTGATGATTGACCGGTGCAGGTTTTGTAGAGGCTGCTTGGCTTAAGATATCAGTGGATGAGAGCAGATGTAGGGTCTCCATGTACTATGTTTAGAGAAACGCACAACACAGGGTTCTATTATGGGAAGCAGGAGTTTTCCTTGTTTAAGAATGGGGAAAGAAGCTCGTGATTCTTTTGTGGTCTGGGCCGGGTGTTCCCTTTGTGATAGATTAGCTAATAATGATGATATGATATATATCATTCTCTTGTTGAACACAAGTCAAATAAATGATGCTACAACAATGTTGGGAGTAAATGAATGGGATAATTGTCCGGCGGACATCCAAAGTGATGGTCGTTTACTGGCGGACGCCCACTACTACAAAAAAATATTTGTAGCAACGGGACAATTTTTTTTATAGGGGCGGCTGGTGATGGAGCCGCCCCTACAGTGGGTGTGCTCAGGACCCATGAGACCAGCCACCCCTACAAATGGCACAGTAGGGGCGGCTGGTGATACGAGCCGCCCCTACAAATGGGTCGATTTGTAGGGGCGGCTCACTCACTGGCCGCCCCTGGTGTTGCAATTTGTAGGGGCGGCTCAATCACTAGCCACCCCTACAAATGTTGCACGTACAAAAGGCTGCAACCACCGGCCCAAATCAGCCCACTTAGAAACCCTAGACTATATAATTGATACCCCTCCATCCCTCTTCCTTGTTTCCTTCTCCCTCCCTCAGCCGCACCTCTCTCTCGAGCGCGGATCGAACGCAGGATGCAGCCCCTCACCCCCGCCTCAGCGTGCCCCATCCGCCCGCCACTCTCTCTATCTCCTCCCTCCCTCAGCCGAACACAACTCTATCTCTCAAGCACGGGCCCGACTTCCGCGCGTGGCCCCGTGCCCCCGCCCGTGCCATCGTCACATCCGCCGAGGAGATGGGCTCTGTCCTCCGCCACCATCGTCCTCCGCATCGGGACCTTGTATTCCGTCACGGCCGCCGACGTCCACCGCATCGTGACCCCCGCCCTCTGCCGTGGCCGCCGATGCCCTGCACGCCAACCTGGTCGCCCCCTCTCGGGAGATCTGGGAGCAATGAAGCTTGCATCGGCCCCGATGCCCTCCCGCATCGGCCGCAAGCAGGAGCCACCGACAGCGCCCTCTCGCGTCAGCCGCAAGAACCACAAGCAAAAGGTGCGCCGTGCTACCTCTCCCTTCTCATGCCCAACGAGGTTTATTTCTAGGGACCAGAGTGGATCTAATATCTCGATTTGAATATCTTCCATGTTCCGGTGCTAGCCTATCCTCAATACCTTCTCTGACCTAGTACTAGCTGGTGATTGGGAGCAGAGTAGCTTGGGTTTTTCAAAGGCACAGATCTAGTGCTAGCTTGTGACTGGACTAGAGAGGAGTATTTGATTAATACCTAATGTTGACGGATCTAGTATATGACGGATCTAGAGCAAGTTGAAAAATCTGTACTATCCTAGGTGAGTATTTGATTAATACCTAATTTTTTTTACCAAATAACGAACATTTTTAAACCATGTTTTGATCAGTCATGGATTATAACCAAGTCGATTTGGTTAACTGAATTGCAAAACTATGTTTTATGACAACTTGCAAAGATAGGTCGTAGTTCAGTCTTGCTTCTGTTATAGCCATCTAGCTTCTCTAGTATTTTTTTCACCTACAAAGCTAAGAAGTATTTCAGTAGTCATGCTTCTGCACCCAATACACAGTATGTGTATTGTTTCAAGAATGATGATGCTGAAGTTCAGTCTGGCATCTTGTCTGCAATATTTTTTGTAGGCATATATAATTTAAATTTCTATGATGGTTAGTGTACATCGACGGATGATGGTTCAACATGTTTTTTTGC